CGGCACGCAGGGAAAACCGAATCAAAGTCAGTTCCAGGAACAAGAATATTGGCAACAGCCCATATACAGGATTACAAAATTATACATGGGAGTATTCTTGGGGATATTAGGGGGATACTAGGAGTTTAGACTATGGCTCATATTGCAGCCCCCCACTACTTTTTTCGGAGCTTTGCACCTGTTATGTCTATTGCTCCTGTAATCTCCTGCAACTTTAGTGATTTGAATTGCGAACGTTAGGCTTGACCCATCCTTTTTCAAGGCATGGTTTTACAGAGACACTTTACCTGACGAAAAGCTTTTGCTTCAGTGCACAGTTTGGTGAGGATGCCATGGCTTGTTCAAAATGATCCAAAATGTAAATTACCAATCTTGAATGTATGAGTTCATGTGAAGTGCAATCGCTTGATGTTTCCAAGGCCGACGGTAATGCACCGAGATTCTGCGTCAGGGGCCTTAGTGATGGGCGCATAAAAAGGCTGAGACGAAGCACGAATGCAGTGGCATTGATACAGCGATCGTTGTTGGATGGCGCTCTGTGGTGATTTCAAACTGTGAATAACTTGATTGTGTGTGTGGTCCTCCCTTCAGGACCTAGCTGCATGGTCAGATGGGTGCTTGTTTGATCAACTTGTAATCTCAAGTTTTGCAGCCTTATGCTTCTGTTTCATCGACTTGTTGGCCAGGCTTACGGCATGTGGTTTGTTATTGGAGGTGCCGATTAGCAAAGAGTCTTTGGCAAATGAGTTCATGAGATGAGGCATCATCTGCCAACTAGCATTTTCGGCATCTGGCACGTGACTTCGGCAAACAGACATCGTCTCTCTCGTTGCTAGATTGCTAGATCGAGGATGTATTTATTCTAAACTGCTAGCCATTGCAACCCTCAACATCACGGTTGCTGCTGCTGCTATACAAGTCGATCATTTGCTGCTACCAGACCTCGTCCTGCTACTCCTACTGCTGCTGCTGCTACTACTACTACTACTACTACTTCTACTATTATTACTACTCCTCACTCAGGGGTTCTGGATTCAACTTCGGAGACCTCTTCCTTACCCCGGAGAAGATGAAGCAACGCCTGGCCCAGAGAAGGTGCGCCTCTCGAATGGGGTCCTTTGGGAACCTGGAGATATATTGGGGTTTCCCAAGATTAGGGGGACCATTTGGGGGGTCCCCATAGCAAGGATTATATGGTATTTTGGGGTCTTTATTGGGGTCCCTTATTTAGGGGAACTGCCATATATGATCATATATGGGTCTACAAACTGAGGTCTCTAAGAAGGTTCCCACGACTGTTGCGTTACATGGGGATGCGCTTCCAAGCAGTCGACTTAGTTGACGTCCCGATCCTTCGGCGTTCAAGCAGGTGACTTGCCCAAGCGCATGTATGAAGGCTTACAAAGGGCCAACTGTGCCAAACTTTCAGATCGGTTTCTCATGTGGTTACCGGGATAACCTAAGCGTGTGAAAGCATCTTATGGGTTCTCTTGTTTTCGGAGAGTGCTCAAAAGTCAAGCTTGTTTTTTTCCAGTGGGAGGGGGAGGGGTACATCCCACTTCTCAAGGGAGGGTTGTTACCTGGATTCTGCAAGATATGTGGAGAATTTGCGATGACGTTATGTGGAATGGCCGCGAAACCTTTTGTATGCTTGCCGTGTTGGGATATGCAAGGCCATTTGAGGGACCGACCTTGCATACTGTATGAATTGCCCTCGTCAGGAAGCCTGAGGCCTGAGGCCCCGCAGCTCTGATAGAAGAAGGTGTAGGGATGGTTATGCAGTGTTCTTGGGGTTATATAGTCAGGAGTACATACTGGGCCACGCTTGTCATCCTAAACTCCATCCAAGAGCGTTGGACCTGCCAGGGCTTCTGAGCTTGCCATTCGCAGACCTTCAGCCCACCTAGAGTAATTTCGTGTCAAGCCGCTTGGCAGCAAGGAGATGTGGTGGTGTAAAGGGTGTGGTTGGTGCAGGGTGGGTGGGGAGCAACTATCAGGCCGCCCAGGGTTCCTGGCCCTGGGGTATGTATGGCATCATGCGTCGCACATAAGTTCAGTGAATGTCATTCGCCATCGCAAAGCTGGATTGCGGTCGGGCATATGGTTTGGAAGCATGAGGTCCATGAAGCCGTAGTTATGTGACAGCTATGGTGCAGTACTTCGTGCGCAGGCCTGGGTCTAGATTCAGGACCTCCCCCTTCTTACTTTTAACATATCGTACCCCAAAGGCAAATGCTAATGAACTAATGATTAAGTTTGAGACGCTGCTTTCATTACCCTGAAAATCCTGGCCCCAAGACATGACTCTGGGATTCAAGGTCCATCCGCCGCAGAAATGCTGATTGCCAGTCTTGCCTGAGCGTTCTTTTCATGAAAATGACGAGACCAGTCTAGAGCGTTGGGTTGCGATGTAATAAGTATACTATAATCATGTAAGAGCTGCTTGGACATGACAATGGTAGCTATTGTATACCCGTATGCAATGATCTTGTGGACTTTAAAGATGGTCAATTCGAGTTGTTGATGTCGGAGACAGCAGTGTTAACTACTATGTAAGTATGCAGTAATTACCACTCAGGTCTTGCTGATGGCACGCAACGCATCCAAGTCTTACACAGCTTACGACTTTTACCATGCAACATAGGCAAGGAGCTACATGAGTTCGGCACCTGTCGATGCAGTTTCGGGCAAGAGCACCAGTCTAATCAGCCGAGCCAG